GTTCCCGTCCCCAATGGTTCTCCCTATCTCATAATAGCTCTCCACATCAGCTCTAGTACGGACATTTTGCTTCAGCCTCGTTCTTTCAAATTCTTGTGGTTTGTTTTCTTCTTTGTTGACTTTACATTCTCCCATCTTTTTCATCCTTGTTGACTCATTCTCTCCACGCACAACATCCTCTTCCCCTCCAGCACCTTCCTCTTTTGCTCCCCAATGGTTCTCCCTATCTCATAATAGCTCTCCACATCAGCTCTAGTACGGACATTTTGCTTCAGCCTCGTTCTTTCAAATTCTTGTGGTTTGTTTTCTTCTTTGTTGACTTTACATTCTCCCATCTTTTTCATCCTTGTTGACTCATTCTCTCCACGCACAACATCCTCTTCCCCTCCAGCACCTTCCTCTTTTGCCTTCCGCACTTCTTGGCCTTCCCCCTTTGTTTTTATAGGTTTCTTTGTATCTCCCTGACAGTCCTTTATTAACCAACAACTTTGATTAATTCTGGAATTGCATCTATTTTCTTTCTTTGGTTCAGGAGTGACCTGCAGAGCATCTACGGTATTTTTCTTTATCTTTACTAACTCTTTGTCAGGATTCTCATGTCTTTCTGGATCAATTTCTTTCTCAAAACTCCTTTTTTCATTTTCCAGCTCTTCATTAACATTCCTTTGTAAGGGTCTCCAGCTCCTTCTACAGCCAGTATCCTTCCATTCAACTTCCTCACCTTCCACAGAGTTTCCTGAAGACTTCCTGCAATTTCTCATTTTTACATTCCTTTCTAAATTATATCTCTGACACATTCCCACATTAAGGTCTCTGCTCTCAAATGAGATATCAGCCTGCCTTTCCCTTTGTAGTTTTTGCCTGAGTTGTCTCTCTCTTTGACACTTCTCACATCTTATCTCATCTGAACTCTTTTCTGTTTCATTCTCAAGACTTTTTTCTTTGTTAAAGTATCTTTCTCCTTCTCTGGCTTTTCTAGAGGGCTTCACATCATGATCTCTGCCCCATTTTTTTTTGGCCTTTACCTTTTCCTCTTGCCTGGTCTTAGGCTGAGTTTTTTCTTCATGCCTGGCTACTAGTTGGGGAGATGCGACATCATTGCAGTTTTTGGCAGTCTCCGTCTCATCAAAACCACTATCCCCAGCTTTGTCACACAGTCTACTTTTAAGTTTTTGTGACTGTTCCAAGTTTTGTTGAATTATACTGAAAGCATAGGTGCTATTGGGATAAAGTTCTTGTATTACCAGTTCAAGATTCTTCAAAGTCAACTGCTCCCTTCCCATAGCAATGAATGCATCACCTTCTCTAAAGAAATCAGAAACACTTCTTATTTCTCTGCCTTTCAGGTTGTAAAGTTTTCTCACACGATCATTTTTCCAGCGTGGAAATCCCAGAGCTTCTGAGATATCAGCCATCAGCTGTTCAAAAGTCTGGACAGAGCGCCTGTTCAGAAGCAATGTGATCTTCCTGAGCGTGTGTCCAGTTGGTTTTACCACTGTAACAATCCTTGGCTTTACAGGGCTATTCTCTGAATGGATAGTGTGAAAACCATTCTGTGGGTTTAAAAATGGGGAACTGTAACTGTTTGCACCCAAGAAAGGTTTTCCAAAATTTCCACGACCGATGGGTGGACAAGTCCCTTGTAGTCTCCTTTGTGTTATCCTTGAGCTAATGCTGTTTAAAGTGTGGTCAAATAGGCCTCTGTGTCCTGCAACAAATAAACAAAAAGCAGATTATTCATTTTCCATCAGAAGGCATTTTCAATTAACAATTTTCTACACATCAATATATATAACTTTTGGAAGTAAAGTTAAATACATGAAATATTGTTGAAGAGTTTTGAGGTCCTTTGATAAAACATAATATAAACTTGTATCTTCAACAATATTGCCATTATTGTGGTAAAGGTTTTCCCATACTCACACATTCATCATTCCAACGCAGGGGTGGGCAGTAAGCCAAAGGCGATTCACCAGGGTTAGCCACTGGCAAGCTGCTGGCATTTTATTTACCTGCACATTTGCAGGTATGGCCCCTTTCAGCCTCCCCTTGACCACGTATCACCCCTCCCAGCCAATGGGAGCAGTGGGAAGCAGTCATGCGGATAAATAAAACACCAGCAGTCAGCATCTGGTCCACGGACTGTTTATTACCCACCCTTGTTATAACAAGAATGGCAAACTGGAATTTCCTTTTGTAATGTATTGAAACTAACTGGAATTTTCATTCTGCTCTTCTATAAACAGTCTTTTGTACTAATTGTTTGTTAAACTACGGTAATATAAAATTATTTTGTCGTTCTAAATAACATCAATGCTAATAAAAATAATTACATTTTATCATCTGAATTCACCATATCATAACATATAACAATCATGTAACATTTATACTCTATCATATCTCTGAGAAATACATCAAAAATTCATAAAAATAAGAACCCAGAATAATCACAACCTTGTTCTTCTTGCACTTACAACAATTATCTTCTTAAATGTTTGCCTATGTTTCATATTCATCTGCCTCAACTGAAATGTAAACATTTCAGAGCAAAGATCTTATTTTTATATGGTTATATATATGGTTTTATATGGTTATAAAGTTGCTATGTACAGTCATTCAGAAAGACATAATTACAATAATGAAGACCCTATAAATACCAACATAGACTCAATGTAGAGGACTCCATTAAAAAATAAAATCATTAGTAATAATTTTTACTTTTTTTTTTTTAAGACAAGCAACCATAACTCACTATGTCCTTGATTTCTAATATCAGTCTGGTTGGATTTTTTTTTTTTTACTTTAAAATTCATGAAAGACACCTTATTTACTGAAAACCATGATTACCAAACTTGAAAGTTTTCCATGTAGGATTTCAGCATACTGTGAGTATACCCCCATCTGGAAGAGGCCTTCAGAACCATGCTAGAGGCCAATCAACCAAGGAAACATTCCACTCGTGTTAGGAAATTTGTGGTATCTTTTCATATGATTTCCTAAAGACAGGAATGAATGAATGAACACCATGTTTATATGTGGTGATGACTAATCCATGTTACAGCAGGATTTATTCTTACATGTGTAGATAGCAAAATAATACAACCCTCTTAGAGAACCATGTTTTAGTCTTTATATCCATCAGGATTCAAATACATTTCCCTTACGTGATTATAATGCAGTTCTTTCTATCCACACAGACAAGAATCATTTTAATGTGGTTATATGTTACAAGATCTGTTTAAATATGTCTAGTTTTAAAAGTATACTTGTAGTCTGTGATGAGATATATAAACCCCACATTGGCCTCAAAGAAGCTAAAAAGCAATATTGAGCCCAAGTAGCCTCGTCCCTCTGGGGCTACATCTAGACTGCAGGCTTCTTTCGGAAGAAGCTTTTCCAGAAGAGATCTTCCAAAAAAAACTTCCGAAAGAGAGTGTCAACACTGCCAAAGCACATTGAAAAAGCAATCTGCTTTTTCGAAAGATAGTGTCCACACTGAATGTACACTGTCTTTCATGTAAGCTGTGATTACTATGGACGGAGTGGCCACTGGGGCACTTGTGTTTTTTCCTCTTTCCTCTTCTTTTGAAAGAGCTCCCTCTTCCCTGTCCCCACATGCTTGAAAGAGCTCTTTCGGAAAAAGGCTTCTTCCTCGTAGAAAGAGGTTTACCAATGTTGGAAAAAACCTCAGTTCTTTCGATTTTTTTTCGAAAGAACACGATTGCAGTGTGGACGTAAGTGACTTTTTTTGGAAAAACAGTCTTTTTTTTTTTAAAAAAAACCCTCTTTAGTATAGACATAGCCTGGGCCTGCCATGCATGCTCCAACTGGAAAAGCAGGTAAGTAGGAATCCAGGAGGCTAGGCAAAGCATGGTGGACCAGCTGCAGTAGAAAGGAACCATTCTTTAAAAAGCCAGTCAGAAAGCTGAGCCTGAGAAGGGACCAAAGAGCAGGTAAGGCCCTGGCAGTTCCTTCTCCCACCACCATCTCCTTTGAGAGCCTGCAGAACCTGTTCCTTTGGACAGTTTTTTTTTTTAAATGATTTATAGGACCACATTTCTAATTAAACAGAAGTAACCCAGAGTACTAGATTTAGATTCTCTGCAAGGAGAACCCAGCTGGTGTTGCTTCCGACAGGGTCCTGGGGTGGGGCCCAGTGGAGAAGGAAGGCCTGGATCTTCCTACCAAGCACTTTTAAGGGCTGAGACCCAAATGCAGGTGAAGAACAAAAGATTCCCAGCTTAGGTCAGGAACAGGCATCTCTACCACTCTGACAGAGAAGCCGGAAGTGCACACCACCTAGCCTTCTGAGCACCCAATCATATGGCCAAATGGTCATATTTGCAGACAAGAGGATCAGACATGAAATGGTAGCTAATGAGCTAGAACAATTACTGGACAGTGATAATGAAAAATACTGTATTCAATTTTTTTCAAAAACAACAAGAAGTCCTATGGCACCTGTCATGAACAGGAGGAGTGCTGACCAGTACTCAGTGACTAAGGGGTTAACTCAGGTAACTAGCAAAAGTGTCTTCCAGGGGGCTGGGAGAACCAATTGAGATAGAGGGTTGAAATCTGAATTGGATATAGGTTCCCTGCCTGCTTTCTTTGTGTGGGAGAGATAAACCAGGAGCGGAGACACACAGAATGCTTTAAACCCAGGCAGGACTACCAGGCCTCCCCATGGAATTCAGGGCATGGGAGTAGACTGAACAAAGGGAACATTCGAAGTGAATACCAGGGAAATGTGAATCCAATCATGTTGAGGGTAATTTTTATTTATTTTGTGGTTTGTTTTGAACTGCTGGGAGTGAATCTATGCCTCCCCTTCACATTTACTACCATCTAAGCCAGGGTTTCCCAACCTATGGGTCAGGACCCAAATATGGGTCACCATTACATTTCAAAAGGGTCACCAAGTGTCTCCCCAGGGCTCTGCCCTCCCTCCTCCCCCTGTTTTTTAACTGGCTTGGGTCACCAAGCCTTCCTGAATTGTCAAAATGGGTCCCCATCTGGAAAAAGTTGGGAACGGCTGATGAGCATTGTATCAGACTTTTTTTTCTCTGTTTTGTTTTCCTTAGTTGCTCTGTATCATCTAGCAACCAAGTATGCTTTATCAAGTATATCTTTTGTTTTGTAATAAAAATCACTTCTTGTAAGGTGATGATTTGATTATTGTGTCCTGGAAAGTCTGCCTGTGTGTATCTGCATGCCTCTGACTGAGGGGTCAGCTACCAGAGACAGCAGCTTGTTTTTCTCTTTTATTTTTTGCAAGCTCTTTTGCGGCAAAATAGCTTGGGGTACCCCTGGGTGTGATTTAAGTGTTCACCCCTGGTTTTAGGAAAAAAGCACTTGATGGTGACAGCAGTTCCCCAAAATCTGGACATTAGGATTCTACAGGGAAATTTTTGAGCGGTGAGCAGGACAGTTCAGGGCACACGCAGATCCTAAATAAAAATGTAAAAGCAGTGCCTTTTAAATATCCCCACTGCTGACAGTGAGGTTTAAAGGCACTACAATGTGTCAGAATGGAGAGAACCTGGTGCATTCCCCAGCCGGAATGAGAATATGGATAAAAAATTCCAAAGATGGTGTCAGCTTTCTGAAAATAAATGAGCCCCTTTTCAATACATGATGTGGTGGTGCAGAGTTTTATTGGATTACAGTCCATTTTTCCAATCCATATTCCCTTAACTTGCTGGTAAGAATATTGTGGGTGACCGTATCAAAAGCTTTGCTAAAGCTGCCTCTGGGGGCTTTGGGAGGACCAAAACCACCGTATTTGCATATTTGTAATTTGCTTAATGAATATGCAAATAAATGTTACCGGTCCTCTGAAAGCTCGCAAATGGATTTACTGGTCCTTGAGTCAAAAAGTTTGGGAACCCCTGGTCTAGATGATGCTTGGTCCTGCCATGAGGGCAGGGGACTGGACTTGACGACTTCTCAAGGTCCCTTCCAGTTCAAGTGTTCTATGAGTTCATGATTTTGGCATGAGCTTTCATGGGAAAAGACCTACTTCGCCCAATGCATATCTTTAGTCACAATACTTCAAACATTTTTCTCTACAACCTCAATTTTCTTATGAAGTATTCATTCTTTCTTATGAAGCATTCTGACCCCATCCAACAAAGCACTTCAACCTGTGTCTCAGTGCAGAGGAGTAGCCCCATTAACTTCAACAGGTTAACATGAGAGTGCTTAGAACCATGCAGATTTCAAGGCTATCGTGTTTTGCTTTTCATCTCCATGAACAACTTTAGCATATGAAACTACATATCTTTGCTTATTCCTTTCATTACCTCTGAGTAAGTGAAGAAGAACATGTCGTCTCCTTTCCTAAACCTTGGATAAAAGAGAAAGCCATTCTTACATGCATAGTATTTCAGCATCTTTCCTTTTCCCTAAAACAGCCCATCTGAGGGGGGGCAATGTGATGAGAAAGACAGAAAGAAGCTCCTCAGCTATAATCGTGGAGCAGCAGCAGATTGTTTTGTGTATCCTTCAGCAAGTCACTTAATGTTCTGTCTCACTTTCTCCATCTGTAAAATGAGAGAGGCTACTTCTGCGCAGCAGGAGTGTTGTGAAAAAGTACTAATATCTCTTCAAGCTGCCTAAAGTGTTATGTAAGTGCTACGCATTACTCATCCCCAATGATATACGGGAGAGAGTTATTTTTGTCTTTATTTTATACGCATGATGATG